AGGCAACAAGTGTGGGTTACCCTAGAGGTGTAAGTGTGAACCGTGTTTTGATTGCATGCATTTTTATCTTGAGATTAAGGGTTCTCTAAGATTAATTTTATCTTTCCATACAAACCCTAATTACTAGCACTTTTATTTGAAAGTGATAAATTGTGGAAATTAAAGTCTTATGCTATTACATCATTTAGAGGATGGGGATACAAGTTTATGAATGGGGAATTAAAGCAATTAAAACCTAATTACTATTAAAACTAAATTGAATAAAAATAATAGCAAAATAGTCTCAAAATATCAAGATTTTTGGTGTTGAAGCTGACACGGGCCGTGTCCTGTAACACGGGCACCCATGTCAGAACCCTGTAATAATTATGCATGTCTTTTTTGTCAGAGTTGTGCTGACACGGGCAGTGTCCCGTAACACGGTCACCCATGTCAGGACCTTATCCTTCCATTTTGTCAAGTTTTCTCCCAGTAAGAGGGACACGGGCCGTGTCCTGTGACATGGGCACCGGTGTCAGAACCCTGTATTTTTACTTTGTCATGTTTTCTCCCTAACACGGCCCATGTCAGGCGACATGTCCGACCGTGTCAGGCTTCCAGAATCATTTTTTGTGGTTTTGAGTGTTTGCAACTCTTCTACTTTGATTTGTCCTGTTTTATTCTTTTGAAAACGGAAGTAAAATTATGTATGAACAAGGAAATTACAGTTTAAGAAAACTTACCTCTTGAAGTGAACACTCAAAATGTGTTTGGATGTTTTCAAGCGTAACTTGATAATTGATTGAGCTCTCTTAGACCTTTTTGAAGTTTTTCCAAACCTCACTTTATGCTGAAAGTTGTTGAACCACTCCAACCAAGTCAAATTGCAAAGTAAGGTTTTTGAGTTTAGAAGGTGGTGACAATGATGTTACAAAAGTTGTTCTTATGTTTGAACAACTTCTATATGGTGTATGTGAAGTTTTGGATGGTTTGCTTGGAGAAAACTTGTAAGGTATGAGATTCAAAGATTTGGACTTCAAAGCTCAAAAATGGAGGTTTTGTGGATAATTCTGGTTTTTTACAGCAAAATGATTTTGAGTGTTAGTTTCTCCTTCTTTTTTCTGGCCCTTTTTTCTTGTAATTGGCCTCTCTATTTATAGAGAAGGTTTGATACTTGAAACAAATTATATTTTGAATCACATGTTATGGCTATCTTGCTTGTTTTTGAAGCAAGCATGAAGAACATGTTTCCAATGCTTGTACCAAGCTATCTAAAGTGGTTGATCACTTTAAACATGTTTGTTCTGACTTGTAGAAGTTGAGTGTGATTAGAACAACAAGTTAGAGGCTCAAGAAAATTGACTTTATGATTAAAGTGGACTTTACAAGAATGGCAATGGTGCTTTTGTGCCAAAAATGGAAAGATGCAATGGACAATACTTGAATCACTTGGGTAATGGTTCAATCAATTGTGTAAACATCTAATTATGGATAAATTTGCAACTAAAGAGGCCTGCAAAGTAATATTATGCAGCATAACTAAGATTTTGGTTCCTTGTTCATCACAAATGTGCCTTGTAAATCAAGAATGAATGCCCAACTTCGGGTCTTTGAATCTCCTAGCTCAAATATGACAAATCCATGCTCTAGGATGTTTTAGAAAGCTTGAAACATCCTCTATAACTTTCATGTTGGCCATTTTGACAAATTCATCATGTAATTTTATGTGAAAAAGTTCCTAGAAGTTGAGATAAAATCCTGACCAAAATCTGTTAGAAATTTCTCTAAGTGTTAGAAGAAAATGTCATGGCTTCATGGGCTTATATCTTCAAATCTAAGCATTTTTTGGACATCAACCCTCTAATTCAAAGTTGTAGAGTTCATCAAGATCTACAACTTTCATGTTAAAATCTTCCTTTGAATCAGCATGCATCATGGTTAAAATTTGGCACAAAGTCATGAAAAAAAGTAAACTTTCTAACACTTAGAAAATTTTCTAAGTCTTAGAATTTTGACTTTTCAATGATGATTTTGACTTTTTGATTTCTTGATGAAAAATCTTCATATTTTGACATGTCTTGTTTAAATATGATTTTTGAAACTTGATTTTGATTAAAAAGTCAAAGTTTGACTTTTCATTGTACAATTGACTTTTTCATCAGTTGACCGAATTTCAACTATCAATCAATTGATCTTGAGAAGTGTTTTGAACCATGCCATTAGGTCAATATGATTCATTTTAATCCTTGATATCATGTCTCAAACCAATAAGTCATGTATTTGGTCAAAAGTCAAAAATTGAGCCTTCTTAGTCAAAATCCTAATTTTGACCATTTTGCCCTTTTGGTGTTCTGATCAAATTTCTCGAGGAATTGTGATCCAAACTTGACCAATTGGAATATATGAGTTCAAAATGTTTATATGGATAAAAAAATTATGAAGTTTGATTGTAAATTAACCACAATTGACTTTTTACACAATATAGTTGATTTTAGGTCAGTAGATCAATTGACTGAGTAAAAATGTGATCTAAAGCTTGAAACTTGACATGAGCAATCTTGAGATTCCAAAATGATCCATGAAAGTCATATGGGGCCTTAAAATTCCAATTGTACTTGTGCAAACTCAAACCCTAATTTTGAGTCATCAGTGCTTGAGGAGGTGTATTGAGCTGATCCATCCTTGTGTCTTCTTGAACCAATAAACATCTTGTGTGAGAAATCTTGAGAAAATGAGAGGGAAACTTTTGGGGTGCAATAGTGGTTGCGACCATCTCTTTCTTCCTTATCATGATGTTATCCTAATAGAATTCATGGTCGATCTCTTGATCACTTTGTATTTCTCTAACCCTCTCGTCGGGGAGAAGATACTTCATAATTATGTATAAGTTCAACATGGCTGCGCCAAAAAGATTGAGGGTTAGCATCCCCATGATGATGTTGCATGAAGAAGGAGTGTCAACGACGTGATATTTTTCCTTGATTTTATTTGTTTTTTAATACTGAATTCTATCTCAAGGGTTATGTGGCCCTTTACCTATACGAGCTCGTTTGAAATCCTAATAAACAAACCTTGGAAAACCAGGATTTCATTGGATCAAATCATATTCTTTAAATTGCTTCCCTAAGTTATTTTTATCGGGCACCATAGTGGGTGAAACTTTACTTTCTAAATGTTTAATGGAAGGTGATAAGATGCTCACATAGGATGCAAAAGGCTCTGCTTCCATGAGTTTCGTGGATGGACAATAATCCTCGTTGTTTGTTATGGCATGATATGGGTGACCACTTTTCCCTTGGTAGATTCTTGTATGCTTAGGGTGAATGGGAGTTGTGAGAGTCTAGCCATGCATGAATCATAAGATTCTGTGTATTTGTATGTGTGTGTGTGAGGGAGAGAGTGGGAATGTGTGTATATGTACGTGTTTGCGCACATGTTATTTTTGTGTTTATGTTTGTTCGTGCGCGTGAGTGTGCATGTGTGTGTGTGTGCATGTATGTGTTAGTGTTGAAAATTTGTGATCCCTTCTCCAATATAGAATTCAAGCATTTATAAAAGGTCATTTAGACATGGGCTAGAAAGCGAATAGATGACTTTTCCACTACTCCTAGAAAACGAGGAGCAGCGGAGACAAATTCATCCTGTATCGTGGGATGAACTGTTTTTCTCCTAGACTCACATTCCTCGACTGTTTCTTCTAAGACATCATAGAAACCATATGTTTCACATAAGACAGGTTGTTGGTTTTTTGCTTAAGCCCAAATGGTTCTTTGAGCGGCCACCTTGTTTCGTATGCTTTGTGAGGTTTTTTAATTATACTCATGACCCCTTAGGAGACCAAGCTTCATTTGGTCACTCACACCCGACTTCTATCATAGATCATTTCCTTTTGGGCTCGTTAAACTATCATCAGTCTAACAATTATCTACAAAATTACTCATTTTACAAAAAACAGAGCAAATCTTTTTAGAATTAAAATTTTTTTCTTGCAAAGAAGGTTGAGCAAGACCTCGCGTATTTGCATAAATTTATTTTCACCCTTTTGTGTTATAATATTCGTTTAGAATTTTAGGGTTTCCCCTAATATTGTGCCCCTAATTTGACGGTCTTGTTGAAGAACGGGCAAAAATACTTCTATGATTTGAGGTAATGGTTTCTCAACAAGACTTGATGTGTGCTCAATTTTCAGGGTTGAGCTTTGAGCTATTATCTAAAGTTTAATGAAGTTGAATTCTCGTAGTTAAAAATGGGTTGCTACTAGGACAAAACGGTATTGAAAGGTGTTGATATTGTTATTCACCATTTTAATGCTGCGGAAAAACTCAGAGAAAAATCGTTACAATCACAACAAAACACCATTACAAATGCAAAACATCGTAACAACAGTGAAATATTGGTACAGTCGAAAAGATTTCAGAAACAAAATATAAAAGAATAAATCACATGAAAATATTCTTTATTAATGTTGTGATTAATTCAAATTGCAACAACTGCGATTATTAACGTAAAACTCTTGTATCACTCAAAATTACAAAAGTTTTTACATGATCACGATTGTTATTTTAAATTTTGATCGAGACTACAATCAGGTTGCCATCTATTTATATTAAGATGTGAAAAACACTCTTATTTTATTCAAATCTTAGATATGCTTAATCAATTTTCTAACTATGGACTGCCACATAATTTTTTGTGAAGTTAACCAAATGGATAATGTATTAGTTAGGCTTAAATCTACTTAATAATTGTGTTGTTTTCTATGTTGTCCCTAGATTTACATGCTTTGCCTTGTTCACCAATAAAGGGTTTTGTGTTTCTTTAAGTTTTAAATTTTTTGTGTAGCTCTTTGTTAGCCTAGACCCTTGTTTGAATACAAAAAAAAAACTAATACGAACATAAAAGGTTCAAATTGCTCCCTTTTATAATTTTTATTTATTGATACATATGGTAAGCTTGTATGACATCATACATCCATATGAATATATCAGCAAGCATTAATCATATTATAACATATAATTCTCTTATGGTGTTTCTAAAGTTATAGTCAATCGAATAATCGATTGATTATTTGAGGCATCATAAGATATAGTTTCAAACACAATGAATCCCCTTGCAAATCGAAATCTTCCTGTTCCGCCCACAACACTGAGTTCTCTTAAATTCTCATGTTGACGACTGGTACCTTGAATTTCTAAAGTGCTTCGACTGTATTGAGCATTGTTGAACACAATTGATAAAATTATATTCACATTTGCACCATCTTGAGAAGTTACTGTAATTATACCTTGAGCGCTTCCAATTTGAGTTGAAGTTGGACTAGAAGTTAATGTAATCGGATCATCAACTGCAAATATTGTTCCAAATGTATTGTAGGACCAGACTTTATCTTTGATACCGATAATTGGCAAAACAGTTGCATTAGGTCCTTTTCCGACATCTTGCATATAGAAGACTAAGATTGATTGATTTGGTTGACCGTAGGTGATTTTGATTTTTATCAAAAGTAATATTGATAAGAATATGATTTTGATTGGCTTTGGAAATGTTGGTGCCATTCTTTGTTATTAAATAATGTTGATGAGAAATATTTATGATTATTAACTTGATTTGTAAAACAATATGGCATTTTATAGAAGTGGTCAGATGAGGAAATTATACTTAAAAAAGACTTCATCATTTTCTAATGTCAAAAAATATGTTTATTCTTTGAATGGAAAAATAAAATGAATTTAATTATTATGAGTCATTTAAATGTGAAGAAATTTAAAAACAATACAAAATATTATTCTAAAACAATAATAATATAAGTGTTGTACATATGAAAAATTACTAAGGAAACAAATATAACAAAAAAGTTATCAAAATTTTTTGTGTAAAATATGATATTTTCAAATTTTATTGAATAATGCATCTTATTTAAGTTAGATAATCTTACTATGATCGTTTCATTTGATTATATTTAGTTGTTTTTTAAAAATAAATTTTTTATGTTTTTGACTATCGGGTATTATCTGTCCTGAAACCCTTACGTTTTATGATAGTGTTATTTTTTCTTAAAAGAATTATGCTGACATGGAATATTTATATAATAGATATACGAATAGGTTAAAATTTCAGTCTCCACTCAACAAATTTTAATCTCATTTCACGTGAAAGGCAACATTATATTATAGTTTATATTATTTGTATGCGCACATGAAATGTGTTTCATTTAGTGATTGAAAACCTTAGTAACACGTGATATACACTCACATGAAATGTTTTCATTTATCATTTAAACAAGATTATCATTACTTGTATGAAAATCATGTGTTCTAGCCCATTTTGAGTCTTTCATAATTTTTTATATAAAAAATAATGAATAAAGTATTATTTTGAGAAGCATAATAACATTTTTTTTAAAACAATCTAGAAAATTGATAAAAATGTAATTTACATAATATAACAGATATCAAAATATGGTGGTATGAAGGATGACCACCCAACATAGTCGTTTGGTTATCTAGGCCTTTAACGTAATAATTATTTTATTTAATAAAAAAATTGAATTAAAATTTAATAATTTTATAAAAATATTATATATTTTTTTTTGAAAGAAAAAAGCTTAGTATTTATTGAAGATGAAGAGTAAAGTTCATCTTGAATCTTTTATTCAGTTGTAACTGTAATAGTCATAAGAAAAGATGCAATTGTATTATCCATTATATTGACCAATGTAATAGTACAGTCAGTTTCTATACAAACTATTACAACTAAAACAAAGGCACAAGCTTAACTAAAGTAACTAATGGACCTAATCTCTATTTGTAAACAAAGTTAATCATATTCTTAAAAGTTGTACGCTAACACCCCCTCTCAAACTGAAGAGTAGTGATCAACATCAACAACTTTCAGTTTGTTCTGCAAATCTTGAAATGCAGTCGTGCCCAATGTCTTGGTAGAGTGTCAACAATTTGCATAGCAGCTAGGACATATTGAATATGGATGTTTCCAGCAACAACTTGTTCATGAACGAAATGTATGTCAAGTTCTATGTGCTTTGTGCGAGCATGAAGCACATGATTATGCGAAACATAATAGCACTGAGATTGTCACAGAGTAGAATAGGAGTATGAAATGATATTTTGAGTTCAAAGAGGAGTAATTCCAGCTACAACAGTTAAGAAGTTGAATGAGCCAAAGTCTTGTATTCTACTTTTGTGCTAGAACGAGCAACAAGTGATTGCTTTATGGAACTCCAAGCCACTAAGTTAGGACCAAAATAGATGCATGAACCAGAAGTAGAGCGTCTATCATCTGGTCACTAGCCCAGTCAGAGTCACTATACGCACGTAGTGAGAATTTAGAGGCAGAAGCTAAAGGAGACAACATTAAACCATACATTGATGTGCCACTGAGATATCGCAAAAGTCTTCTAACCACAACCCAATGAGTATCAAGAGGACAAGCCATGAATTGACAAGCCTTTTTCACACTATATGCAATATCTGGTCTTGTCAAGGTTACATATTGAAGAGCTCCCACAATGGATCGATTCAGATGTGGATCAGCCATGTGATTAGTATCATGTTTGCTAAATTTACATGTACTTAGCATAGGGGTGGGGACACCATTGACAGCAGTCATATTTTCCCTTGATAAAAGATCTCGAATGTACTTGGACTGTGTTAAGAGCTTGGATCCATTACTCCAAAAGGTTACTTCAATACCAAGAAAATATTTGGGTTTACCAAGCTTCTTCAGTGCAAATGTGATATGAAGCTTGTTGATCAAATCATGAATTAGAGAGGAGCTAGAGTCTGTTATAAGTCTATCATCTACATATATTAGGGCATAGAGAGTTATACCTTGTTTTTAATATACAAATAGAGAGTTGTCACTCTTGGAAGGAGTAAACCCAAAAGGAAGCAAAGTTTGAGTTAACTAAAGTAATTAATGGACCTAATCTCCATTGGTTAACACAATTCACCATACTCATAAAAGTTGTACTCTATCAGTATTAAAAAAAGCGAAAAACATTTTATATAGATACAAAACATAGTCATAAGCTTTGGGTGCATACGTAAATGAAAGAGAAAAAATATAAATAATATATAATTCAAAATAATAAAATTATATATAATTATATATGTGTGTGTCTAACACACGGTCGGTTCAAATATTTTAGCGGTCCTATTCTCATTTTAAAAATAAGACCTCTATTAAATAATAGAAATAAAAAAATAAAAAATACAATCCTTAATAAAATATTTAAATATTTATCAAATTTAACTTTTGTTCAATAATTATTTTCATGAGTTCGATTCTTTCAAATGACATTTTTTTAAATAAAACAACTCATAAAAGTGTAATATTATGGTTTGAACTAAAGATCATTTTATTGCAAAACAAAGCTCCATCTACTGCAGAATATATTATAACTAAACTATTTATATATTAATTAAACTAATTCTTTTCACGATGTTCTGTGCAACAGTTCACCTTGCACATCCACAGAGTCGGCAACTATTATATGCAACTAAAATTCGTCACATTCACGCTTCTTTGAAATGATGATTTTTGTAAATAAAACAACTCATACAAGTGTAATATCATAGTTTGAATCAAGGACCCTTTCATTGTAAAACAAAGTTATATCCGTTGTATTACATCATAAATCATTTACTAAATTTGCAAACACGAATATATTATAATTAAACTACTTATATATTAATTACACCGATTCTTTTCACATGGCCCCTGAAAATTTGAGGCCATGTGCGATGGCTCGCCTTGCACATTCACATAGTCGACCATGGTTTAACGGACCACAACCTTGCAGCTATAAATTTGTCACATTCATGTATTTGGTTTTTTTTTTTATCGTTAGATCAAGATCAAAAAGTTAAGTCTTTAAATTAGATATTTTATATTCAATACAAATTAAAAAGTTATGTTTAAATTTAGATCGTTTTATTTTTATCCAACGATGGAAAAAATACTGAATGCATGAATGCGGCAAACTGTGACTGCAGTGTGTTTCAACTGGTTTTTAAATCAGAGTCGTCACCCTTAATTTTTATCCTAAAGGAAGGGAGTATAAAGGAATAACCTTAAAAGTTAGAGATTCTAGATTTGAACTCGGTTCTAGACGAGGGGAAGGTGTTAGACACCCCTTATCTACCTTGTTCACAAGGATACTAGGTTTAGAAGCGCGATCTTAGGAAATAGGGTTTTTAATTATTATTGGAAAAAAAGTTTGAATTTTATTTAGCGGGACTCGCCACGATTTTTGATCGTATGCCTATGTATCCTCTTAGGAGGAATCAGAATCCCATTTCGTAGTTCGCGGTTTAGTTGGTGTTTTTTATGGATTACGCAGATATTTTAATTTTCCCCGCACTTAGTTCGAATGTGTGGATAGCGGAGATTTATAACTAAGCACGAAGTTAATTAAAACACTTTGTATTCCTTTTTGAAAATTAATTATTTAAATTAATTTATTATAAAAAGTAGTTCGGCGATTGTTTGAATATTTTTAGACGTATAACTGAGGAGTCTGATATAGCTCCCTTATCACGTGGCCAAATATTGGCCATGTGTCGCTTGCGGATATTGTAATTTTAATGAATCGCGGGTTTTAATATTTTGATATAAAATATTAAATCAAATTATGTTGCGAAAATTATTCTTAAGCGTGTGGTTTTAATATAAATAAGCAATATTATATTTTCAATAAGTCTAAAATAATCCAATATTTATAAAAATAAATAATATGTAATATTATAATTAAAATATAAATATAAATATACAATATTATAATTATTAAAATATAAATATATAAAAATCAGAAAAATAAATAAATAAATATATAAAATGAAATTATAAAAAAAATGAATTTGCTGGGGGGGGCGGGGGTGTTATGATTTTCGTTATGAGGTAATATTGGAGGGGTGTAAATACAAAGGGCTTAAATTCAGATTTTGAATTCAAGCCCAAAAGGTTAGGGGGTGCGTGTTATACACTTAGTAGCGAAAACAGGGGTGCCAAAAGCATGGGGCCTGAATTCATATTTTTGAATTTAGGCCCAATGGCCTGGGGGTGCAAAATCACAAATGTTAGTAAAAGCAAAAAAACTTGGGGTACATTTAGCTAACGGGCCAGGCCCAATGATCATATTTTGTTTTTTTACAAAACAAAAACTTGATTAATTCACAATTGACCTAATATGGAAATGAATGAAGTAGTAAATTTGGCTTTGTTTTGTAATGTCTCCTTGTCTAAACTCCTTTGTAAAAGTGATGATGTACTCTTGACACACTCTTGTAATAGTATTGATGTAAATGGTAATGATGGTTTGAACTTGAAATGTCTTTTGTCCACTCTTAACTTCATATGAATGTATTGATTCTTTCCACCTTTGTTAATTCTTGAACTCAATGGTAGAATCCCAAATACTCAAAGCAGACTTCTCTTCCAAATTGTAATTCCCTCCTTTTGCTTTTGAACGAACCATGAACATGTCTTGATAAGATTTACTTGAACTTGACATGATGATGTTGGATGGGACCTAAAT